ATCCAGAAACACTGAACCAAAGCAATTCCCTTTTCCCCCTACAGTATGCATTCTGATTGAAGAACCAGGAGAGAAACTGATTCATATTTATTTGACTTTCTATAGCTAAGCAATTATATATTCCTATTTTTTTACCAGCTTTTATTGCCCTAATTTCTTCAAGACACAACTTTACAATCTGAAGCACTCTCCATGACCCATTCACTCAACAGTCAACAGCATGTATTTACCCACAGTCTCACATCTTACTAAAAATAAATATGCTTTTGGCCAGCTTTTCTTTGTACATATTGACTCATAATTCCAGCACATATATTATGTCATTTTGAAAAAATACTAACTGGTTCAATGAAGGGACTGGATTGCTGAACAAATTGGATTTTTCAGTAACTCTAGCAATCTTCAAAACATAGCATAGTATCCTACACTTAGTGGTGTATAGTAATTATTTATTGGTTAATTGATTAGTTGAAAATAATGTTTCTTAAGAGAAATTCCATTTCTGAACATGATGATGTTAATAACAATGACTAAATCATTTTCACACTAAATAACAGATGCTATTTAGTTCAAATCTCTACTGACCACCAAAACCAGTAAGTATCTGTGTTATAGCTTGAATATTTAGGTAATTCATTCAAATATTTATGAAAGATCTACAATATTCAAGATACTGCATATGTTACTGTCTTTGAAAAAAGAGTAAAATAACAAGGCCCATATTGATGTGGAGATTAAAGTAGGATTGGAAATAAGCTCTAGTTACATTGTCTTCTTTTTTTACTTTCAGTTATTGCCATTAGTTTCTCTGTATCTAGGCAGATAGATTCTCTAATATAATGAATTAAGACTTCACAATACTGCATCGCTTCAGTGGTGATCAGAGCTCAGTATTTTTACATGAAACATATTAACGGAGGACTAGTGAATGCTTTGCTGTCCAACTGAAATTTGCCATTTGAAAACCTTAAGGAGGGTGCGGCAGCAAGACATTATAGCTCTACAGAGACAAAAACTCATTAGCAGTTGCTCCAATTTAGTGGCAACTTTTTTCATTTTAATGGGAACAGTTAACAGGAAAGTCCTTGCTGAGGAAATTTTGCAAGCAAAATGGATGCAAATGCAGGCTCATTCTGTGGCTCCCCAGGTCCTAGTACTGGCATCACCCAAACAACTTCGTGAGCTTTCATGAATCAGATAACAGCACACAGAGGTATACAGAGCAGGATGTGACTTTCAGAAAGGTAGGTAGGTGGTGGAATGCATGTTGGGGGGCTATTTACGAAATGTTTCCTTTCTTAACATTCATGAGAAGAATACACACAGAGTTAGATCAAATTAATTGATAAAAAATCCAAATTAATTGATAAAAATATTAGACCTTTTTTTAGGATTAAATTAAAAGGTAAAGTGTTTACATTTTACATTGTAGCCATTTTTAACTGCTAATTGATTGTTAGCAGTGATGTCATGGATACATGTCCCCAGCAGAGGGAAGCATAGCGTCACTGTTGTTTTTGTAAAGGGTTGATGTAGGTGCAGGCATGACGTACACTACAATTTTAATTGAAGATTGGTTGATTTGAGCATTAAATAAGCAACTTGACATTAACAGGCCTTGACATCTTTTAGGAAGCATTAATGAACTTGGTCCAAAACCCCCAGTTCAAGGGAACATCCTACCAGCAAATCAGTGTGAAGACTGAATTATCTTGTACTTGACTACGATGCCCAATGACAATATACTGGGTCTAGAGCATCAGCATATTAATGAATGATTTGCATGGCTTGTTTTAAGACTACACTTTCTTCTTGATATGGTTAAATGAATATTTTTGTTGCCTACTACAGTTAGGTTGCTACAATATATGAAAGCATGGTTATACCTGGCTTCTTCCTGCGCATGAGAATATTGAGCTTTAAGTTTTCTTAAGGGTCTAAAACCTTGAATTTATTGTACTTACAATAATAAAATATAATTCAGTGCTTTGTGTTCTTAGAATTTTCTTTATCTTAGATTTTCTTTCCCTCCAGTTACACTTCTAAAGAATTCTGGGACAACTGTGTGGCTTGATGCATGTGTATGGATATGATGTCCTATCACTTACGATTTCATCCAGGTTGTTGGCAGGTTTGGAAGATGAAAACTGCTGTAACTTACCATGGTGCTGTAAGTCTGAACAGTGAGTCAGTGGGTCTCCATTTCTTATATCTTGTCGTCTTGTGCGTCTAAAACAATTACATTTAAAAGGTGTTAGTGTATCTCTATTCCCTCTTGGGAATTTGACATACGAATTAATAAGAGTCAAAAATCAAAGATTCTAGGAGCTTAAAGAAAGAGATGCATCTACATCTGACTAAAAGATTTCTTAAAAGCAACTCATTATACCTGGAAGGGAAGTCTCCAAGAAGATTAGAATGAGAAACAGTGTACAAATGTATTAACAATGCATTAGGACTGATAATAGAAAATTCATGGTTTTTTCACTATTGGATGTCAATCAATCTAACATCTAGAAACCCTAAAATTTTTAACATTTTACATTTGGAAGGAAGAGTACAAAATGTAGAATTGCAACCCGTTTCTTCAAAACACCAAATCAAACTTCTTTTCCTGATCACTGATAAGGGAGTAAGCTTGAAAATTAATATTCATATGAATGTTCTCTTCCTTTTTGTATTTACACATAATTCCATAAACAGACTTCTGTTAATTAAATGTATTAAGATTATAAATTATATTTTTAAGTTAGTTTTTAATTTTCTTTTTTAGCTGCTATATCAACCTTTTAAAATCAAACGTATCTTTTGTGATCCTATGACTATGATTGAAAACCTGTTTACCTGGGAAGAGAATACAAAGCAAAAGGAAAAACAAATATTGAGGAGCGGGGCCTCCTTTTGTCAGAGGAAGGCAAGAAAGATGAGGAACCTGCCTCTACGGGAAAAGCTTAATTTGTTATGAAAAATTTTGTTAATTTCCCCTAAATTTACTACTCAAATCATATTAGTTGTAGGACATTCTGGGTGTCTTCTCTCTACACCTTGCTAATGGTTGACTGGGAAGAAGGAGGTTGGATGTAACCACTGTGGAGGAAACACGACATGTAGTTTGAGAAATAGGCTAAAAATGGATTGACTATGTAACAGACTGGAAAGGACTGGGGACACGTGCCCAGCTGTTTTTTGCATCTATTTTAATGGGTGTTGTTTTGCAGCAAAGTTAATTACCTTCCCTGAAAAGCGCTCACAAAGGCCATTGAGAATTGCAAACATGGAATTTGTTACTGTATTAATAAATTGAGAAGCCCAAGGTATTTATAGATTTCTATTTGTAGAATTGGTGGGACTATCAAACAGATGTTGCACATTTCAAAATTGTGCCAACAAGAGAACTTGTGAAACATGAACCACAAAGCATTTGGGAAGGCATTTTTTACTGCTATTTAAGCTTTTGAAAAATGCCATCACAAAGAATATATAAATTGTGAAGCCTCTAACCCTCCTTTTCAAAGACATATGAAATTGGATTAAGTAAAATCTTCAAGGCACAACAAACATGTGTTAATGATAATTCCTTCAGTCTTATAATAAGCTCTAGTTACATTGTCTTCTTTTTTTACTTTCAGTTATTGCCATTAGTTTCTCTGTATCTAGGCAGATAGATTCTCTAATATAATGAATTAAGACTTCACAATACTGCATCGCTTCAGTGGTGATCAGAGCTCAGTATTTTTACATGAAACATATTAACGGAGGACTAGTGAATGCTTTGCTGTCCAACTGAAATTTGCCATTTGAAAACCTTAAGGAGGGTGCGGCAGCAAGACATTATAGCTCTACAGAGACAAAAACTCATTAGCAGTTGCTCCAATTTAGTGGCAACTTTTTTCATTTTAATGGGAACAGTTAACAGGAAAGTCCTTGCTGAGGAAATTTTGCAAGCAAAATGGATGCAAATGCAGGCTCATTCTGTGGCTCCCCAGGTCCTAGTACTGGCATCACCCAAACAACTTCGTGAGCTTTCATGAATCAGATAACAGCACACAGAGGTATACAGAGCAGGATGTGACTTTCAGAAAGGTAGGTAGGTGGTGGAATGCATGTTGGGGGGCTATTTACGAAATGTTTCCTTTCTTAACATTCATGAGAAGAATACACACAGAGTTAGATCAAATTAATTGATAAAAAATCCAAATTAATTGATAAAAATATTAGACCTTTTTTTAGGATTAAATTAAAAGGTAAAGTGTTTACATTTTACATTGTAGCCATTTTTAACTGCTAATTGATTGTTAGCAGTGATGTCATGGATACATGTCCCCAGCAGAGGGAAGCATAGCGTCACTGTTGTTTTTGTAAAGGGTTGATGTAGGTGCAGGCATGACGTACACTACAATTTTAATTGAAGATTGGTTGATTTGAGCATTAAATAAGCAACTTGACATTAACAGGCCTTGACATCTTTTAGGAAGCATTAATGAACTTGGTCCAAAACCCCCAGTTCAAGGGAACATCCTACCAGCAAATCAGTGTGAAGACTGAATTATCTTGTACTTGACTACGATGCCCAATGACAATATACTGGGTCTAGAGCATCAGCATATTAATGAATGATTTGCATGGCTTGTTTTAAGACTACACTTTCTTCTTGATATGGTTAAATGAATATTTTTGTTGCCTACTACAGTTAGGTTGCTACAATATATGAAAGCATGGTTATACCTGGCTTCTTCCTGAGCATGAGAATATTGAGCTTTAAGTTTTCTTAAGGGTCTAAAACCTTGAATTTATTGTACTTACAATAATAAAATATAATTCAGTGCTTTGTGTTCTTAGAATTTTCTTTATCTTAGATTTTCTTTCCCTCCAGTTACACTTCTAAAGAATTCTGGGACAACTGTGTGGCTTGCTGCATGTGTATGGATATGATGTCCTATCACTTACGATTTCATCCAGGTTGTTGGCAGGTTTGGAAGATGAAAACTGCTGTAACTTACCATGGTGCTGTAAGTCTGAACAGTGAGTCAGTGGGTCTCCATTTCTTATATCTTGTCGTCTTGTGCGTCTAAAACAATTACATTTAAAAGGTGTTAGTGTATCTCTATTCCCTCTTGGGAATTTGACATACGAATTAATAAGAGTCAAAAATCAAAGATTCTAGGAGCTTAAAGAAAGAGATGCATCTACATCTGACTAAAAGATTTCTTAAAAGCAACTCATTATACCTGGAAGGGAAGTCTCCAAGAAGATTAGAATGAGAAACAGTGTACAAATGTATTAACAATGCATTAGGACTGATAATAGAAAATTCATGGTTTTTTCGCTATTGGATGTCAATCAATCTAACATCTAGAAACCCTAAAATTTTTAACATTTTACATTTGGAAGGAAGAGTACAAAATGTAGAATTGCAACCCGTTTCTTCAAAACACCAAATCAAACTTCTTTTCCTGATCACTGATAAGGGAGTAAGCTTGAAAATTAATATTCATATGAATGTTCTCCTCCTTTTTGTATTTACACATAATTCCATAAACAGACTTCTGTTAATTAAACGTATTAAGATTATAAATTATATTTTTAAGTTAGTTTTTAATTTTCTTTTTTAGCTGCTATATCAACCTTTTAAAATCAAACGTATCTTTTGTGATCCTATGACTATGATTGAAAACCGGTTTACCTGGGAAGAGAATACAAAGCAAAAGGAAAAACAAATATTGAGGAGCGGGGCCTCCTTTTGTCAGAGGAAGGCAAGAAAGATGAGGAACCTGCCTCTACGGGAAAAGCTTAATTTGTTATGAAAAATTTTGTTAATTTCCCCTAAATTTACTACTCAAATCATATTAGTTGTAGGACATTCTGGGTGTCTTCTCTCTACACCTTGCTAATGGTTGACTGGGAAGAAGGAGGTTGGATGTAACCACTGTGGAAGAAACGCAACATGTAGTTTGAGAAATAGGCTAAAAATGGATTGACTATGTAACAGACTGGAAAGGACTGGGGACACGTGCCCAGCTGTTTTTTGCATCTATTTTAATGGGTGTTGTTTTGCAGCAAAGTTAATTACCTTCCCTGAAAAGCGCTCACAAAGGCCATTGAGAATTGCAAACATGGAATTTGTTACTGTATTAATAAATTGAGAAGCCCAAGGTATTTATAGATTTCTATTTGTAGAATTGGTGGGACTATCAAACAGATGTTGCACATTTCAAAATTGTGCCAACAAGAGAACTTGTGAAACATGAACCACAAAGCATTTGGGAAGGCATTTTTTACTGCTATTTAAGCTTTTGAAAAATGCCATCACAAAGAATATATAAATTGTGAAGCCTCTAACCCTCCTTTTCAAAGACATATGAAATTGGATTAAGTAAAATCTTCAAGGCACAACAAACATGTGTTAATGATAATTCCTTCAGTCTTACATTACAGGTATGTGATAAACACATTTCAAATACGTACAGTTTTTTAGCTTACTATAGATGTAGTTGTGATCTTATTTTGATCTTTATTTAAATGGACTGTTACTAAATTAGACAATGTTACATACTTTCAAATGGAAAGTAATAAGATTCATTTTTAGTTCAAACATGAATTTTTCATTTTTCAAGTAACTTTAAAAGCCCTCTAGATCTAACTGACTTTAGGAACCATAAAATTTTAATCTTAATTTTAATTGTATTGCTGCAAAAATTGCACATTGGTATTTACTAAACTAGTTATGGTTTCTTTAATCAGTAACACATTATCTAAGTTTTTGTTTTAAATTTTAACTAAGTTTTTGTTTAAATGTTAACTTCCAACAAAATCAGTAGGTATATGAAGTAATATAAGCATGTTATGTCGATTCTGAATGTTGAAAATTTAAGAGAATTGTATTTATTAAAGGAATAAACTAATATAATATTTGCATTTAATATTATTATTAACAAGATAACTGTATTTTAATTGATATGGGCTGATTGTATGTTAAATGGAAGTAGTTGATGATTTAATGCTATAGTCAATGCTCTCTAAAGTACTCGGAAGATCTCAGTAGACATTGCAGTTCTTTCTCCCCTCCACTGTTTTTTTCCAAACATTGAAGATGATCCAAATTTGTATAACACACCTCACTAGCAATGAAAAAAATCCATTTTTGTGGCTTCTTGTAAAACATTAGCTATAATAAAAACAAATTTTATTGTTCCTAAAATGCAGTGGCTTGATAACACTGATTTTCTTAAATGTTTCAATAGGTTGATGTTTAGACCATTAATTTTTAGGTTTATGTTAGCAAGACATTGTGTATAACTTTTGTCTATCATTGCTCATTTCTTAAAGACTGGTAAATACCAAAAGAGAAAGGGGGCCATAAGATGACTATTTTGTCAAATTAGCAAAGTATTTTTATTTTTTAAAGCAAAAGTAAACCAAGTTTGTGTACAACTTTTAGGATGTTTCTAAGAGTTCCCTGAAGTATAACTGCACCTTCTGAGTATCCTACTATATTAATGATCACATGTCTATTCCCAAAGCATTCAATCTCCTAGACAGAGACTTACGGTTACATTTATCTAAACATAGTGTTTTAGATAGCTTCTCGACATATATTAGCAACTTTAATTCAAGCATGTCTGAAAAAATAGTTTTAAATATTATCAAGGGTATACTTAGATACTTGTGTAATACATATATGCAGAGTCATAAATACATATTTTAATATGTGGCTTCTTAGTTCAGGTTCAAACACTCCAAATACAAGATGATACTATGATCATATAATGGCCTTTAAAGTTTTGGGATCAAATAAAGATACATGTTAATGCTAGTTAATCAAAATGATACAAAAATGTGATGTCCTCAGAACTAGAAATAATTCTTCTTGACTCTTTATAATTGGGTCTCTGTGTACTCTCTAAGACTCAAAAGGTAAAACTCTGAGAGTTTTCTATTTATTCAAAGAAATAAATTGCCTTATTATAATGTAAAACCAGGACAGAATGTTGCTGGATAGAAAAGGAAGGATATTTTGGGGCAAAAGAGCATCTTGGTTAAAAGGCACAAGGCCCAGTCTGGATGACAGCTGTGACTCTCCTGTGGCTTTGACCCTCAGTTTTTCCCCTGCATAAAATGAAGTTACAACACTTTAGAGTTTCCACGTGCAAATATTCAAGGACATTATTACAACATTGTAGTTTTCCCTCACTAATTTATTAAAACCATTTGTTCCATTACATTTAGTGCCCAGTTGTCCTATTATATAGTTTCTGATTGTTTTGACTACTTAGAAAGAAAGAACCAAAAACCTCTCTAAGCCTCATTTTATTCATCAGAAAAAGATGATGCACTTAGATGAAACTGTTCCCAAAATGGAATCACTTAAGACAAATAGTGAACATTTGTATTTATTTCTAGAGCTTCTCCTACCTCTTCGCAGTAGGGAAGTAGCGAGAGCAGGAAGAGCCATCCCAAGCACAGTACGGGTCCCTGGCGAGGCAGCACTCGGCACAGGCTTTCCCGTAAATATCACATCGGTGTAGAGGGAGCTGGGCGACCCCCACAGTGGAACCGATATATAGTTGTTGCTGTGGAAAAAGTTTTCTGTTATGACAAAAGTTATCTTGGTTTTCAAACCTTTTTTTTCTTAAAAAAGCTTTACTTATACATAACTTATCAAAGACAACCATCCATTTGTGGGGTTTAACAAAAAACATAATTCCATTATTGAGTGCTTCTCCAAAGGCCTGGCAGATAATGTGATCATTTAAAATACAGCAATATCAAAATCTAAATACTTGACTAAGACAGATGTATTTGATAAGTATAAAACCAAAGGGAGATAAAGGAAGGTAATAGCAGTTATGTCAATTATAGCTCAAAAATAAAATTTTCAAAGAGATAGTAAGACACAGAGCAATGTAGCATTCAAACCTTCCTTTTGTTCTTAGATAGCCTCCTCTTTTTACTTCTACCATTAATACTTGTGATTAATCAGATGATCTCATTGCCATGTATTCTGGTTGGCCTCGGGGCAGGGATCATTTGCTTCTGACACTTCTGACTGACATTGTGTGGTATAGTTTGCCTTGCCATAAAAAGGGAAAGGGCAAAGTTTTGGTGCTTACATTTGTAAAAAGTTTGGTTCAATAACAACTGTCTTGTCCTTGCACCCTTGCACTACCTACAAGAAGCTTACTTTAAACAAAACTACTACATTACTTCTCATTTGAATGATCATCAAAGACGGGAATCAAGTAGACCCTGGCTGGTGCAATAGACTTCAACAAAAAGTTTGGATGTTGTGGAAAAAGTGCTGTATTGGGCATCGGGGTGTGTGCATTCTAATTCTAGGTCTGGCCTTACATGAATTCTGTGTGATCTTGGGCCATTCACAGTTTTTCTAAGACTTAACTTCCTTATCCATAACATGTGCATGTTTAACTGGATCTTACAATGAAATGTTCTACAATGCCATTAATCTTTATGCATTTGGAGTTATCAAATGAGGCAGACTATGGGGGTAGAACTTTCTAGCAGCATCTGATTCTAGGATTTCACTATGATTTCAGTATGATTAACAAAGTTGAGACAATATGCTACATTTATGTAAATACAAAATGAAATACAAATAAAATTATTTTGAGATTTCTCCATATTTTAATTAGTATCACAGAGTCCTTTTCTTGCACTAAACATTTGAATAATAATTATAGCAAGCCTTAAATAAAAGTTAAGTAAATACTGAAACATGTAATAGTACATGTGGAAAAGACTTCAGACTTTTAATTGTATTTTAATTGCTCCACTATGTAAAAGAAAAATGAGTTACAGAAAAGCCAATCTCTGAACCATGGTATGTTTTTTTAATATTAAAAAACTGCTTGACATCAGGAATATATAATTAAACTTGCACTTACAAAAAATCAAAGATAGACTACACAGATAAGTAAGTGGATAAGTTGAATGCAGATTGAAGTATCTATTAAAATCTAAGAAACTATTAAGGCTATAAGGAGTACTTATACACAAAATAATGTTGTGCTTAAAGCTAACCAACTTGTTTATATCTTAATACAAATAAGGGAGAAGAAGTAAGACAGTAACAGCTGAGCCACTGTGGAAACAGTTACCCTGATGCATTTTGCTTTTTCCATTCCAGTAAATGAAAACTGTTTATAGCACTACAGTAGAGTATACAGAGAATATAGTATATATTACAGATGCTTAACCTTTTAATATATTCATCTTTTATTATTATATTGAAAGGTGCTACAAAACCATGGCTGGCAAATTATGAAATGGTGGTTAAAGTCCTTGGAAAGAAAAGATGAAGCATTGTTAGGCTGTTTGTTGAGAGAAAAACTAGATTTATTTATACCTCTTTTAAAGTACCTACAGAATCAGTGTGTGGTAACAGTTGACCATGATTGGAAAAATATTAAAAGAACTGAATTAATTAGAAGGAATTTCTTTTTTTCCCCCTACAATCCTTCATTTCTCTTTGCCAAAATCATCTTTTTTTAGAAAAAGAACAAAATTTAGATTGTACTGAAGGCCAGCAACCTCAATGTGATAAAAAATGAAACAAACATAATAAATAACAATTAAATTAGTTAAAAAGGGGTGGCACCTTATCCACAACATAGTTGACACTGCTAAAATGGACATGCCAAACTTTATATGGTGCTTACTATTTAAAAAACTACTGTTTGGTCATACCTAATCAAAGTATCTCTATGTTTGGTCAATAACTTTCAAGAAGCATGAGAAAAATTCATACTTACAGATATTTAAGAATACGACATTTGAGTTAGAAAGGAGTTGCTATTATCTAAATAACAGTACCTAAATCTGTCACATCTCTTTAGGAGAAAAACAGAGACAAAACACATGGGAAGAACAGAAAACCGAAAATATGGCAATTGAATTTATTGTAATGAAAGCCTTAAGTATGATAAAACGTGAATAATTAAATACAACTCCATGGCTAGATTTCACTTTAACAATTATTCTGCAGTGCAATAAATGATTTTCAAAATATGCTAAGTGAAATATGGGGTAGGTTTGCAGGCACCATTGAGCATAATCCAGTCATCACTAGCAAGTAACCTGATACGCTTTTTATGCCCAATTTAACATCACCACAGGCTTTCTCACTATCCTCTTTAACAAGTTGCAGGTGATAAGCAGGAGGTGAGTCCATTTATCCAGAAAATTAGTTGCAACACTACTTGTCCCTCTTGAAACTGTTGCCTCACTTTTAGAATGTCTGTTAGCATGAATGCAACTGAGACACGTTTAAAGGAAATCGAACGTCCAGTAATATAAAATGAAAGCTAGGGGCACTTTCTTCTATCATGCTAGTTTAAATTGATGAACTGTTTTTCTTTGCTTTTTTGGTGAAATGGGTTACATTTAATAGGCAATTCTCAAAATAGCTTTATAATTTTTTAAACAGAGGGAATGTTTTACAAAACTAGATATGACATAATTAAGACTGACAATGAAGCCTAGCAGAGAATAAATAAATATTTAAAAAATCATTGAAGGAAAGAATTTATCAGTCTAGCTTCCACCATGGAAATCCCCTGATTTACTTGCCAACATTTGACAATTTTAGATTACAAGAACAGGTGAACACATAGTTACAAAGTCTAAGATAACAGTATCAGGTCAATAATATCTGCACTATGAGTTTCTCTAAATATCTTAGAGATTATCAATCTATTTTGATATGTATGTGTGGAAAAGGATATACTCTGTATTTTATGGGCACAGTATTGTATTGTCTTATACAAGGGAGAACGCATGGCCAGAGATACATGTAAACAGTTCAGGATTAAGATTAGCTAAATGGTTCTCATATTTAACAACTTACTATATATAACATTTACCAGGGAGTAATGGGCTCCCTATTCCAGTCTAGCTTTTCTGCTGGGTTATTTAATAACTAATTTCAACTCAGTATCCAAGCCTCTTTTTTTTTTTTTTTTGTAGTTACTAATGGCAAACTGTATAGAAAGCCTAAGTAACATTTATGGGGAAAAGATAACTTATTAGAAGTTAAGATTGCATTTGTTCTGTACTTATCATTTAGCATTTAGAAGTCATTTGTGTTTCTTAAGTGTCCTGCCAAAGCGTTCATTCAGTGTGAATGGAGGGACTATTAACATGCTGCCCTTAAACCTTTGAATTTATAGGGTTCAGTAACATCATTTGGCAGTGACTGGTTGCTGTCTCCCTTTTTATATTTAGCCAAACTAAATGTTTTCTCAAGCACACAATACTCCTGACAAACTAAAATTAACTTTTAAGTCAGATCCTCCAGACATATATAGTCCAGTGCATAATTTTATTAGCCTATAAAATGTATTTTGTTTATAGATGCTAATTAAATTACAGTTATTTCTATTCTGAAATATCCACCAATGTTATTTTCAAAGGATAGACAGATAGATGAAAATAACTATTGAGTGAATTATCTTATGATGACCAAATGAAAATTTGCAATACTACTGATTATTGAAATATACTAAGAAATATACTTATAGGACATATATGAGAATGGTTGTCTAAAACAGGTGGGCAGTGAAAATTATCTTTAGTTTTTATTCTATTAGCTAACTGTAAGACTGTTTCGTCCCTTGTTTTTTTAAACAACTGCTAATAAATCCATAAAATGTGATGGATCATAAATGTTTATCTATTTGAAATGCAAAATTAACAAAATGTAAAATATTGATTGTAGTACATAAAGATGGTACCTGCTTAGTGGAAAGCTCCATTGCTGAAATAGTAGTTGGTTCCTAGAGAAGAAAAAGAAAATGAGAACTGTTTGGTCCATTAGCAAAGTGGGTCATTAATTAATTAACATAGAACACTAACAAATGTTTTCAGAGAGATAACTGGTGCCCACAAGGAGCAATGTAACTGGGAAGCAAGACATGTGGAAAAAATTGCACAGACATGTGTTAACTATGTGGAGCAGACAGTAAGATGGGTAACATCCTTCAGCCAAAGTCCATTGGGAACAGATCTGTAGGTGATCAAGCTGGGTTTATTACTCATTGCAATAAGGGATGCCATGGGACTGCTCAGCGAGAGACTGTTGGAAAGGACTTAGATGTTTGGTTTTGTGCTGGGTGGTTTGCGGGAGGATTCAAGGCAAGAGGGACTTTGCTTTAGATGCTGTCTGAAAGCAGAGGTAATTCTGTGACTGGGTACTCTATAAATCTTCCTTAGAAGGAAGGGAGATCACAGGGAGGTAAAGCAGTGATTGGTAAAGACCTAGCAATGACTCATCTAGGCAGAAAAGGGGTCTATGTGGTAATTTTTTGTGGTTTGGAAAATGTCTATGTTCTTGTCTGTTTTCAAACATGATTACAGAATGGGCTTGCTTGGCTCTTGGTTCTTCCTGGTCTGAGAGTGGCCCCATGTGAGGTCAGTGTTCTGTGAAAATCTGTATGCTCATGGCCTCGCTGAGAGCACCTGAGACACCAATGATGAGCTGTTAGTATTAGGCCTGTTTTCACTTGTCAAGGGCTGTGAGAGCTCAACTGGGATGAGATTACTTCATTATATTAAAATGGTTATCTAATGTGCTAAGGCCTACACACCAGGTCTTTGTGAGAGCACATAATCTCTTCAATTTCTATCAACAGGCTAATCTGGAGAAGTCCTAACAAGGGAAGTAATAATCACCAATATACTTCAGTGAAGTGTTCTACTAAAGCCTATTATGAATAAAGGTTCTCTACATAAATAACCACTGTTCTGTGATGAACTTAGACCACCAAATGGCTATTCTCCTGGACAGGTTAGCTTATATCCTCTTAGATTCACTTTCACTGGAATGTGCTCTATTATCTTTTTCAGCAGTGACAAACACAACACTAAGGAGACTGCCTGGGGGTCTCAGAGGAGGTTGACGGGAAAGAGGCTTAGTTGGGAAGAATCATCTTAAAAGGCCTCACTAGGGAGGTGACTGAAGCTGAGCCATGAAGACAGTGTAAAGATTTGGACTCTGGGGCCAAACTGCATGGATCCAAAGAGTAACTCAAACCTGGCCAGAAGTGTGAGTTTAGGTGAGATAAGCAATTTATAAAAAAACACTTTGTAATTGTTTTCTTATTTGAAAAATGAGTATGATGGTACCTTCCTCATAGGACTGTTGAGAAGATTAAATGAGTTAATAAATGTGAAGCACTTCACAAATACGTTTGACACATAGTATTGATTCAAATCTCTCTCGTTCTCTCTCTCTCCCCCACACACGTACACACACACATAACACATTCCCATATCCTTTTATTGCTTTTTTCTCTTTAGCATCTATCACTATCTGGACACATATACATATATGACATTTATGTATTTATATGACATATATATATATGCTCTTATCTGCAGGTAGGGAGCAGGAGTGGGAGCTAAGGATTGAGAAGATGGAGGAAAAGTCAGTAAAAAGATGGATTTTGAAATTTATCACTGAGAGAAAATATGAGGGCATTAGACAATGACTCTCAAAATTGTTCACTGAGGTTTGTGCCAGAGAAGTACTTATTCATTCCATGACTCAGTGGGTGTCCAGAAAGGTGTTCAATCTCCCACACCCTCAGTTGTGACTCCTGTGTGCCCTTTTGCTGCTGTCAGAGAAATGCTGGGGTAGAAAGTAAGAGACACACTGTGAATGACAGGTGAGGCTGATAGGATGTGAGGAGGGGCAGCAGATATGTTTCATGTGTCTTCGTAATTGTTCCTGCCTACACCCGCTGTCACACACAGGCTTACCTAGGAGAGGGATTTTTGGCTCTCTTGTTCACTGCCATATGCTAAGCATTTGGGATTATTTCTGCTATTTATGAGGTCTCAATAAATATGTTGAATGAATGAATGAATGAATGAATGAATGAATGAATGAATGAATTCTTTACCAATTTTCCCCTTTCTCTCCTATTTCACATTCCCTATTATACTCTGTTCCTTCCACTGAAGTTTTATATGAGATACAGGCAACTATACCTTTTAAAGAAGTCTTCCTTAATCCTTCAAGCTTAGCTGTAATTTCTTTGAAAATAACCCAAATGTTCTATACTCACTGTCTTTACTTGTTTATGTCCCATTCAGAGTCATTCATCCCACAGCCCCCTGAGTCTAGCTTCTACTCTAGAGAAGCGGTCTACGATTCTCAAAAGCAGAAATCACTAATGTGCTGTACTGCTGAATAGACACTTCAGTCAAAATTATTATTTCTTGATTTCCTTGTTTTATACACCACTATTGACCATTCATTTCTTCTTGACTGCTTCCTCTATTATATTTCATTATGCCTTGGCACCCTTTTTAAGCTATTCATTCTTAGTCGGGTTCAAGCCTCTCAGCCTCCAGGCATTTGTCACGCGTTTGACTTCCCTTACCTGGAGAGTTCTTTCCACTCTCCTTGCCTTGGAGAGTCCATTCCACTCTCCTGTGGATGCTACAGTCTTTTCCTTGTGAGCTCATCCACTTTTGTGGTTTAAATTACCCCCATGTGATGCAAAATTGCACATTTTCACTTCAAACCTTGATATCTAAGCTGAGTACACAATTTTATTAACAAACTTAAGATAACTTGCCTGAGACACAAATGAGATAAATTATAGAGGATGTAAATTAAGTTAATAGGATAATTCTGAGATTTTTCATAGTATCCCATTTTTATAGCTTAATGATACTAAACAATAATTTTATATAGGAATTGTCAATCAAAAGACAACTATGATGAAATGAATATTTACCAATTTTCTCCATGCAAAAATATGATCTTTAGACATAGTATCAAGTCACAAAAATCAAGGGGAAAATTTATCACAGATTTTCAGCTTTCAAAGACAAAGCTATTATATTTAGGTTTGTACAATATTGGCATCAAAAACTCCAAACAGAGAATTTAGGACAGTTCAGCAAAGTTTTCCACAATAAATTCTTCATTCCAACAGTTTCACATGAGAAATGGTAACGTGGGTATGTAAGCAGTTAACATCATGCAGACTTTCTTGAAGTAAATTTAACACTCAAGGTGCAAGGAAAGTGCTTCTTAGAAGCATTAACAGTATAACTGAAGTGAAAGTTAGTTATGTATAAGTTCTTTTAGGGAAAACTACATAAAAGGGAAAATTTTAGGGAAAACTACATAAAAGGGAAGCTGATTAATATTTATACATTTCATGTTCATTGACAATTCAAAAAATTAAATATCTATAAGGTAGATGAAAATGAATTATTTCCTACATAAACAAAACAAACCCCAATACACACCAAATTTCACTGAACTACTTTATGATCTCAACATTCTTAAATTAATATTCTAGAATCCCTTAATTAAAAGATGCTTATTTATTTTTTAGACCAGAAAGTAATAATAGTTTGGAATAGGATGCGTTATATGCTGCCAGCAGTTGAATTTTAATTGACAATATATTAATTTGACATCCATTTAAATAAGCTATATTTTTTTTCTGAGAAATAGCTGGTGGTGAGTATGACTTCCATTTTAAACAAATGTCGCTTCATACGCCTTTCTTTATAAAACTGGTTTCAACTGCAAAGCTAATTGGTGTTCAAGTAAAAATGAAATTTAAAAACTTAGCATCTTTTCAAGATCTCCTATGACTTTAATTTACTATATTTTTCCAGCTATTTTAATCTAGTCCTTATTAAACTTTCACACTTGCAGAGCTTTTCAACCTGCTGATCCCAGGAGATTCTGACATATCTTTCCGGATGCTAAGCATGTGGATACTCCTTAAGAATAAGTTAATAGATGAGGTTTTGGAAAGCATCGATTATGCTTTACATTTGAATGAAAATTAAACTCTATCATTTGTTCAGCTGTTGATGGAACATTGCATAAATTGGGTTCAAAATGCATATATTATCTATGCAACTACCTTGCAATCTTTTGCAGTCAATAGGACTATAAATAAAACCCATTGTACTAAATGCACTGAAACTCCACTATCGCAAAAGTAAAACACTGTTTGACTGGACTGGAAAGAAAACTCTACCATGAGTAAAGTAAAAAATTAGCTTTATATACCTTTTGAATATTTTTAACAAGGTATAGATGTTGAATTTTCAAGTATTTTAAAAGATTTTGATTTGTATACCATTTACTAGTAATTTTGATTTTAAAAACTTGGAAAATTCATGAAATGAAGACGCTGAGGCTCAACTGACTTTAATGAGCTTGTTCCAAATTACACAGTAAATAAGACTCAAATACAGATTTAAGATTACAAGTAAAGTTTTAGAATTAAGTTTTTGTCTTAGTACTTTATTACCATTTTGAATATATAATGGCAATTCAAAATCATTTCTAGAGTTCTACACCGATGCCAATTTTATTTCACCTCTTATTACCTATTAAAATTTTACTCTAAAATGGAAATTTTTATTACCAAGGAATATTTTTCTTTCTATACTCTGATTGGGATTTGATTTCCCCCAGAATAAAACTATCTTGGATGTAACTGAAACCACTGGAATGTTCTGTGATTAGCCAGGGTGTTTTCCTAAAACCAACCTCAAGATGGCAAAGGACATAGTACTGGCTTTGATTCAGGATTTTATATGAGGTTTGGTATTTCAGTCTAGCGAGGACACATAATGAACACAGTCTCCTGGAGATGATATTATGGTAAAGTAACTGGTTGGTTGACTTTAAATGTCTTTCTTTTTAAAATCCAAAAGTATCAGATACTACCATAACCCTAAATCTGTACCTTGTCTATTTATCTTGTCAAACTACCATAATGCTTAGGTTAATGCTTTTAAATTTTATTTCATGTTAAATAGAATGACTTACAAGGCTCAAACAGAAATACAGAAACTTTTTCTCTGCTAGTTTCACTATATATATAGCAGTTGCTTTAATGCATTGTGGCTTTTTTTTTCCTCCTACTGCAAAATTAAACAAAGTTTGACAGTGAAATATTCCAATTGCTAGGCCACAATACATGTATGAACTTTGTCTGATAGAATAGAATGTTGAAAGTAAATATTTCTCTAAACCCTGCCCAAATACATTTTGTTTACTTCAGTGCCAAAGAAATAATAATGACAATAATATATAGCAGAGACAATAGGGAGATAAGTAGAACTATCTGTGGGAGGAGATGTGGCCAGGCTGTAATCTTTCTACAAAATCATAAACTGATAAGCAATCATTTTCAGGCCAGCACAATAATACCTACTTATAACTACCTGTTAGAGACTGATATTGCCTTTCTCATGATATCTTAAAAACCATACAAATGTTTCTCAACAGTTATCATAGATGTAATTTGGTTGTGTATTTCTCTAGAAGCTGCAAAATACTAACAAAATCTAACATTAAATGTTTGTGCTTGCAAGAGGATTGTTGGTTTCCAACCTGTCAAGTTTTTGTTAAAAGTCATTTAACAGATCAGCTTAAATTAATATCTTTTAAAAATAAATTTGTTATTAATATACTAAAGAATATAACTCAGATGTAAATATAAACTTAAAATCCCAGACAGATGGGGAGTGAAAATTATCCATAATACAGTATTACTGCAAAATTATGCATGCTTTAATTCATAAACCCTATAAAATAAATGATGAAAAAACCTTATGTTTTAAATGGCATGACATGACTTGATATAATTTTATGAGATAAAACTTAATTGTACTAATAGGTAATACATTAAGTCCTGGAAACTATAAGGGATAACACATAAGAGTATGTAAACTGCTTAAGGTCAGGGATGATGTTTAAAGTGCTCTTCTCTGAAACATTAGAACTTAGCATGGTGCCAGAACCATGATAGGTATAATGTTTGTTTGTTTATAGTTGAATTAATAAATGTGCAAAGGAACCATGACAAATACAAATGGAAGAGATTCTGGAAATAATTAAGAAATTCTTAATATAATATTTTAGTACTTCTTGTAATGTCACCTGAAACAGTGGTAGCAATACAAATTTCTGAATATATAGAATCAGTGAAAGTTTTTTTCCTACTAGAAAAATCACATGGGATATAATCGTCAGGATAACTGGCTAGACTGATGTTCCCAGTTTATCTTCATCTTCCTCATACTCTGGACACCTTGCTTTAAGCATGGTCTCCCTGAGGAGGACCTTAAACTCTTTAATTTCTTATATTTCATTTTTCACTAATACCAATACATGTTGGTTGAAAACATATTTTAGGCTCTGGAGACACAACAATGAACACAAGACAGCAATTATCCACCACTTCATTCCCATAATTTGTTTGCTAAATCCAGATGGACTCTTTATTGCTAACACAGTCCATTTGGATGACTGCATTTTTCAATTTGTACAGTCAAGTATCAATGTGTAAATACTGAAATGGGACTTAGTGAGTGATAGTGATTAGTTATCACTCTATACCAGACATAAATATAATAAGGTCAAAGTACCTGACTTCTAAAATGTAGTTTTAGACTTTAAAATCAGAAATTAAAAAATATAGACTTAAAAAAAGTTTAGTCATGTAGATACGACTGAAGAGCCTGAACGCTTTTCACTAGAACACTGTTTAGTTGTTATTATAAGATGTCCATGTCATGTTTTACCAGTTATTTGTTTCAATGATAATAATAGTTTTAATTGATGAAATATATATTAGGGATTTGCCATATTTACTTCATTTTCTCTTCCTCACTAATATTGCTGATGAGTGAGCAAGAGCCCTATTAGGTTAATAAACTGGTCTAGAAATATGAGATGAAGAAAAATCTTAGGAATACTTTGTTTATATTTAAAATGTTTAAACAATTGAAAAATTTAATCCAGCTGCTTCATTTTATAAAGTATCTAAGACATCTAGAAACTAAATAATTTTAAGTTGTGAGACTAGATCCAACATTTTCTTATTTTCTGGCCACAAAATTCTTCTAATTCCAGTTTAATTTGCAGTTATAAATATTTCATGTCTATGGTTTACTCTTTTATCGAAGATTGAAATAACACCTTTTACAGGTATTTACTTCCTTGTCATATCTCATAAATAATTTATATCAAAGTGTACTTCAGTTCAAACTCTATTAGCTAGCTTTCCCAAAAGGAACAACAGACAGTTTGGTATATGATGTATTGGCTTCAATTCTCTCTTACTTTGACCAATATCCCTAATCCTCAGCCTTTACCCTTAATCCTTTCAATGTACCTCAGCCATCCATGATTCAGGACAAAAGTACAAATATTTGTACATTTCTTAAGTATGTAGACTTGTAATCTACAACAAATTTGCTACTTGTGATACAAAAACCTCAAACATATTTTGCTAACAAATAGTTTCTTTAGGAAAAATATAACAATTCATGAATAAGCTGGAAAAATGGTTGAAATGTCTTCATTCCCCTGTTATTCTGAAAGTATTTCCCTTAATACATTTATGGAAGTTACTGGCATCCCAGTTACACCATAAGGCATGAAAGAGGAGATGCTGTGGGTGCAGAGCACACGGGGTTTGTCCATTGAGGTAAGTTACTTAAATAATATAAAACGTAAATCATATATTCTATCACTGAGAAAACAAAATATGAGCCAAGAGTGTATTTCTTTACATTTTTAGATTTAACTGGCATTGAAAGTTTCAAGGTTTATTTTGACTAGTGTCTGGCTTCCTAATTGACAAGCTAATTAGAAGGGTATGCAAGACTACTTGCCCATACCAAGATCAGTGTGCAGCTGTCCTGGGGAAAAGACATATAAGTGAACTTGTTGACACTTGAAATTAAGCAGCACTCACCCGAAAAACTGTCATTTCTTCCAAAAGAACTTCTTCTAAATCATGCCAAGTTTCCTTTGGAATTGAAACTACTTTAAGAACAGTCCCAACATCTTCAAAAGAAAATGGAGGAGAAGATCGCAATTTAAGCAGAACTAAACAGGATTTAGTGTTAAAGAACAGAATCAGTATTGGGTGAAAAAGAACATTTTGACCTCAGTCTTCCTTTTATTTTTCATTACGACAATAGTAAAATAAACTTTCAAATGCATTTCATGCAAATAGATCAACTATAAACATAGCCAGGAACAAAAATAATAGAATTTTTAGAAATATATGAAGCTTTGAAGATCCTTAGCATGCATAATTTAAAAAATACACAATCACTAGGTTAGATTAATTTTTTGTTATTTTTAATCTCAATTGTCAGGTACCTGGGGAAAAAAACACAAAAAATAATACCAGTTTGACATAACAGGTTTTTCTACATTTGTTATGAAATCAGGGACTACAATGAAGACTTAATATAGATGCAAAATGCAAGGAATGCTGTCAAACAACATGAGTAGTCACAGCTCCAGAAGCTGGCTGCTCATCCTCCTGTCACCTGAAAGCCATAGTACTTACAGGCCCCTAAAGGCAGCTCAATGACCAGGAAGGGATGAATGACAATAACCTGATTTCTCAAAATAAACCCCTTGGATTACTGATTACAGTGGTTTTTCAAAAACTGGTTAATTTTGGTTAATATACTGGTTGAATTAACATACTGGTTAATCAGTTTTAAGGTACTAAGGAAACAATAACTGGTCAGTTTTGGTTAACATATTGTTCTGATTAGCATATTGGTTAATCAATTTTAGAGCACCAAGGAAACTTAAAATTCAGAAGCATAAACTATAAAAAGTGTTAAACTGAATACATTTTATAGAGATTTCAAGCATTATTTATTCCAATTTGTGCAAAGAAAAATTATTTTAATGACAAGAGCTGTCACTTTTATTCTAAGTTGGGTTAAGAAGGTATTATTTTTTAGTATTTACAGACATGTTTCTATTCCTTCACAGAATGAAGAACAGGACCTTATTAAATTAAAATATTTGACTCCTCATCATTTCAATTTGGTCAGTTGATCAGTTATTTTTAGCTTTGATTGGTTTACTCTAATCAAGTTTAACAGACTACTTCTTTGAGAAGAAAATCTTACCAGTAAATAAGTTATACCAGAAAAATAATTCAATGTATTCATATCATTGATGGTCACTGTCAAAGATCAATATGATGTGCTATGTGAGATCAAGAAAGGTTGCTTGCATATATCTTATTAGGTTAAAAAAAAAGCCATCTTTTAAGAGGATCCCTGTCTGTATTTACAGGACCTTAGACTATTCACAACACCAAAGATTAAAGGTAAATTAGGTTGATCTATTCAGTGTCTCTGATGTGTCTCCAGGATCCAAACATAACTTTATCTGTGCTCCACATCAAGTTTACTGAGTAGTATTTCAAACAATTTCACACAAACTGAATCAGATTACTCAGCTAGGATCAATATACTCTAATGTGCAACTTAGTTAAAAGATAAAATTACTGTAATCAATTTACTTTGCTGACAGATGACCCTGGTCTGTGCTGACCGATAGCCATCTACAGCATCAGACATTCAACATGCTCATGAAATTGGTTCCTTTAAAGACAGCTCCTGTCCACGAGGAATGAAAAATCTCATGATTGGATCTTTGGTCAAATAGCTGGAAGCAAGCTTTTGTTGCATTGACAATGAGTGAGGGACTTCTCAACATGTTTAGGCCAGAGGAGAAAAAAAGGTAAGTGCGACATTATTGAACAAACTTACTGTGTAGAGAGATCTAATTACGATTTGACAGTAAGTGATAAACTAATATTTATTAAAGAGAAATCCTATCATCTTATAATTTCTGAAGATACTTATAACCAGAAGTTGATACTTGCAACTCATTGACTTTTACTGAACTCCTGAGTCTCACTGAGATTCTTTTATTTGATAAATGTTCTCACTTATAAAATTTCTCACTTATAGACTGTACTGTATTGCTCAGAATCCAACACTGTTACACCTGATAATGTAAGTATTTCACAATTTTGTTATAAAACTTTAAGTCTTTAAAGCTCTTATTGCACGGTTGCCATTCCCCTGTAGCTAGTGCAATTTTTTTCTGTTTCTCACCAAGGGAAAATAAATGTTGTTATACAAGGTTTCAGTGGAGCAACCTGTTTGCCATGATTTATGTCAGTTAACAACGTTAATGGAGACAAGGAATTTATTACCTTGGAATATGACCCTGAGTAGCAAGTTTCAGATTTATAACTGGCACTTTCAAAATAGCATTATTAAAGAGAGTTGGGGAAATACATATAAAAAAATACATCACAATACCAATGGAATTCATTCTGAAAATATACCTGCAAAAAGTTTGTTTGTAATCATAAGATTAGTAAAAATACGTTGTTAAATTTCTACACAAGTTATCTAAAATATATGTGATGATTCCTTAGCTCCAGTTTGTTGTTTTTCTGATGAAATTTTGTTGTTCTCATTGTTTGGCAAAAAGAATTTTGTTGCCAAAATTTATATGCTGTAAGATTTGTACCCTTTGGCAATGTTCAAGTTCAGATAATTTTGTATCAATTTATTCCAGAATCATTACTGGATACCTTGGGAATTGTAGGCATGGTTTGAGCTATGTATCTTAAAAGCCAATGGGCAGAAAAGAGTTATGATTCAATTACAGACATCGATTGTTCACCTAATTATTAGCTTTACTTAATTACACTTATCAACTTTTGACTGAAAAGGAAATTTAATTTAAATTAATATATGTCAACTTGTCTAAAAAGATAACACATTGTAGACAACACACTGTAATGGTAGAGGTTCAGGATTTTTAGTCATTCATTAGGGGTGAATTATGCCTTTGAGAGTGACTACAAAAACTTCTTTCAGTTCTTAGTATATTAATCAGTTAAGGGTAATGTTCTGGAAGAAAATTTAGAACTGAAGTTAAAACATTTACCTGTTCCAATAAACATGACATCATACTGGCCATCTTCTGCATCCACTCGATCTACTACAATTTGTGTAAACTGATAATTTACATCTGTTTTGATCATTATTGGGCGGTTATTAAGAGGAAACACTGGATTGTACATGGCTGGATGACTTCTTGCAAATGTTATAACATCATCAGGGAGGTCTTTTGTAGAGTCAAATCCTCCAAATGTTTTACTGGGACACTATTAAGATAAACAGAAGAAAGTATTTTGGTTAAAATATAATGAACAGTATTACAAATTATATAATAATATATATGATCCCTAGGTCTAGGTTTAGGATTCTAAATGATCTTAGACTCTACATCTGTGATTGTTTCCTTTTTAAGTTGAGTTGAGTAACTGATAAACTAAAAAATAATGTTGCTTAAACTACTACATGTAAAACATACTATGTATTTACTACACATATCTTAAGTCAGAATGGGATTTAGTTATGTCATCATTTCTTATCAAAAACTGCAAATGCACCTTATGAGTTCAGTGTATAGGAGGAATCTGATGCCTCTATTAGTTGCAAAACCCTGTATTTTGTTTATGTAATAGCTGAAGTATTAGAAATAAATTCAGCAATATATTACAACCCAAAGGTATTAAACATTAGATTAGAGAACCTCAGAATAATTTTCTTCAAAATATTTCATCTTCTCCAGTGGCATCATGCTAAATACAAATGCTCTCTTCTCAAACTAGAAGACAATATAAATGATTCTTTATTGCCTTGTTTCTAACATAACCTTGAAAAGATGCCACGAAGTATGAAAAGTAATGTCTGTTTAATAATCAAAGTAATTTTAGGGATAAGGAAAGGTGTTATTCAAAATGTTTAACAACCTGCATGGCACAGAAACTGGCCAATCAGAATCGGACCAGGCTGAAGAGACGATGGCCACAGAGAGCCAGAAAGGATAGATTGTAATGCACAAGTGATACCACCTCTGGATAGATACACTCCACAAAAGGTAACAAAATGAAAATGATAAAATTCAGATTTCACCGTGTCTCTTTTCACTACATTTAATCATGGGGTACAAACATTCAGAGTGCAACCTTTAGTCTCATGCTTTTTGTCTTACACTTAAATAATTTCTGCCATTTAATGTAAGAGCTTGGGAGCTGAAATGTAATTAAGAATGGTTCTTTTAAGAGCCTTAGAAGGAGAAATCAATTGTCTTTGCCATTACCTTGATATAGATCATTAATAATTCATGAGAAGTGGAATAAACCTGTTTTGAAACAGGGAGAGTATCTATGAATATACATGTCTGTATAAGTATGTATATACACACACACACATATATATATATATATACACACATACACACTCATAATACACTAATAAAACAGTTAAAGGATTTAAGGAATTACTTTTGCTTAATTATAAAATTATTTATTTAATGTAATAGTGAATTTTATTCATGGAGTTAGGTGTAACCTCCTCCCTGTAGCCCTTTTCTAATTCCTAGATTAGGCAATACTTCATATTTTCTGCATCTAATACTTGGCGCATATTGCTGATCATTTCCTGTAACAGCTCTCTATGAATAATGTGTGAAAACAGAGGCTCTAGAACCAAATGGCCTGTACTGAATCCTTACCTTCTTTCCTTACCTCACGGACCTCATTTATGAAATGGAAACAATAATTTGGGTGTTGCATATAATACATATAAATAGGTATAAATCTCTTAGAACAGGGTCTGGCACACAATCATTTCTAATTGCTATTATTAGTTATAAACATATACAACTTCAGATAAAAATGTTTGCCACTTTAAATAATGGCACAATATCTAGTACACAGCAGAAATTCACCACGTTTGTTGATGTGAAATTTACAGTCAATTTATATTTACAATATATTGACATCAATTAGCCAGAGATATAAATAGCCACAGGGATACAAAATTGTCCATCAACAAAGTTTACTATTAAGAAATAGAGTAAATCTCCTGTGCTTTTTATAAAACCCATCTGACTTCATGTAATTAATAGATATTACATTTTGCTCATTTATTCATCTGAAAGCTTATTTATATTTTTTGTCTGCAAGATCCATCAACCAAAAGCAATATTTGTAAAATGCAAAATATTGAATTTCCTCATAAATACATTTAGCAATACAGAAAAGCAAGAGTATTAAAAGTATCCTATTTCTAATAAAATCAAATAAAAACATCATTTATTTGAATTTAACAGAATATAAAACTGAAGTGATCTTAAAGTCATGGATAAACTTTCAGTGTAAGTTTTTCATCATATGAAACTATTCCCTTAAAGATCACTAGGATTAGGAAATGTTTCACTTCAGTGGATGGTTCAACCAGATATTCTACTACTTCTGATATCAGCGATGACTTTTGTTCATTTTCTATCATGCACAAATCTTTTTTCTCATTTTTTCTCCCTATTTTAATTGCAGATTTAAAGCCAGTTTTATTTTGAGTTCTGTCCATTTTTATTTAAGCCTAAGCACCCAGAGTTGCTGAAGGGAAAAAGAAGAGGTCAGCAAGAGTGGACAGTGTCTGTTCTAATATCTAGGCCCTGCTCACTCTGTGTGATTTTTTCACCTTTTTTACGCACTTGAGGAATGTGTCCCATACTCATGGGAAGTATCTTTTCATTCAAACTTTTTTCTCCGAGAACAAGACCAGGTGTATCCTAACTGTTTCAACTCTCCATGAAGACCATTTCACTATACCTCATTCAGAAAAGAAAAGAAATAAGGCTACCCATTCAAGTTTCTATTTCTCAAAAATTATGGATATTAATAACTGATAAGCACTGAACTTAAACACTGACATCTGTAAAGGACATCTTTTTAAAATGTAGAATTTCATGATATCACAAAAAATCCTTGCCTTGCTTTCATTTACAGTCCGTCACCTTTGTTTTACATTATCTGTATTTAATATCTGTTTGTAGCTGCTTTTTTTTAACCTTCAGCAGAAATTCATTTCATATTTTAAACACATAGGCCACTTACAGTTCCTGGTCGTGGGTAGGGGACTCTTCCTTGATAAGGTACCCACTGATAGTTGGGGCCGTCCCTGTGGGCATATGGACCAAGAAACACCCTTCTCACATCACTCATACTGTACATACACACAGCTGACCCCTTGAAGATGTTACTGAAAAAGAGAGATGAAACAAAAACAGACTCTCATCTTTATGCAAAGGCAAGAAAACTTCTGATGCTGAGTTTTTAAATTTGACATACCAATGATCAAAATCTGAACATAAATTCTCAGCAATCTCACATAGTGTTCAGGATTTTCTTTTTTAGTCATGTGTATATATTTTAATAATACACAAGAGAACAGATTATGATTTCTCAAAAATGGAAAGCATGGAAGAAACCATCTGTAGTACTCAGAATATACATATTCATATCATACACAGACAATATATGATATGAATATTTTCATCCATATCACACATAACTTGGATATGAAAAACATATACATGGTCTTGTAAAAAGTAATGTTTCATTTTGATATGAAATAGCAATAAAAATATAAACTTGGGTAATATGTTAAGCCTCAAGTATCATTACTAAAATGAGGGAATATTTAAATAAGCAAGAATGTTTAAGAATTCATTTTATAAACTGAAACGTACAGAAAATGAACAGTCAATGTCAATGATGTGTTACATTATATTACTTTTAACTCTTAAGTCACCAAAAGTATTAGACCAAGTAGCAGAGTTTAATTTGTGTGAAGGCATTTAAAATGATCTCCTCCCAACACAGAAAATCAATTTAAGTTAGTAGTTATTATACCTTAATTGAAGTGGTGTATGATAGAAATTATCCCCATCATTTTGCTAGGCAAAAATTAGCTAGTGAAGCAAATAGCATTTGCCATGAACTACCATATTTTTCCATTTTATTTTGCTTATACTGCTTGAGATATGTATTTATATAAAGATATAAAACAGTTGGTGTATATTTAAAATATGGATAATTATCTTTTAACCAATTGCTCCCCACAGAAAATTACATATAAATGAGACCAAATGAAAACACGTGTTCCTAAGAGCTCCTTTTGGAAACCATTGCATAAAGACAATACCCGGTAGAGTGCAAACTTCCTGTGGGAGGAACCATGCCTGCCTCTCTTCCATAACAATGATTACACACTGTATAGCACTTGACACTCAGTAAATCTCAGTAAATATTTATAGAACTTAATAACAATACTTTCATCACAGAATAGCAAATTAATATATATTTGACACATCAGTTTGTAATGTTTAAATGTCCCTTTTTCATTTTTATACCTTTTGCTTATGTACTGATGAAACCAGTCATCATTGAAAACTTGATTATGATTTACTTACAGTGTTTAAGACTAACTCACATGCAGACATCCATCTCCTGAAGTAGAGAGGGGAAATTATTTTACCCAGTAAAACTGTGATTCTCAAAGAGTGGTCCCTATATCAACAGCAGGGGCATCAGCTGGGAATTTTTTAGAAATGTAAATGCTTAGGCCCTATTCCATTCCTGCTGAGTCAGAAACTCTGTGGGGGCAGCCAGTAACTGTATTTAACATATTCTCTAGGTAATTCTGATGCATGTTCACATCTGAGAACCACTGTACTAAGCAATGAGGAAGCAGAAGAAACAATTAATGTTTGTTGAATATAAGTCTCCAAAATTCTTTACTTTAGTTGTCATTCCGTTTTTATACCAAAGGGGAGAACTATTTAGGTATAGGAATTTACATATAGTTTTAGTGTTATGGGTTTCCTAATTTGTACATGTTATTTAAAAAACTATTAAGTACAAATATCCAATCAATTTGTAATGCCTTTAATATTTACAGAATATATCAGAATTGAACTTTGTAGTTAATTTTTCTCTTTATGCTCTCACAGCAGTACTTTTCCTGACTTTTGATTTTAATTATTTTTCCTTTAAACATTTTATCTATTTCCAAATGCATATCCCTTTTTATATTCATGGGAATGTAAGTTTCTTTTAACAACTCCAGGTAATTTAAACTTCATGCTGAATGTGACAGGAGATCATTGCTACTTGATTGACAGCAAGAGCAAGAATGAGGAAAAGAGAAGGGAAAGAGGGAAATGAAGAGGGGGAAGAGACGGGGGAAAAGGGAGTAAGAGTGAGGGAGGAAGAGGGCGTGTGGAGGAAGGAGAAGAGAAAGGAGAAGGGAGGGAAGAGGTTTTTTCACCTGTAGTTTATATCACCAAAAACTTATCAAAACTCAGTTTTCCATTTTTATAGTATTGTACATTTCACTCAAATTTTTAAAGACAAAGCTATACAAAGGACATGACTTAGATGTTTCACTATCTATTTATAGTGATGATAATCTTTGCTACAATTTATCAAAAAAAATAAAACTATTTGAGTTATAACTTACTTCATCCCACCCAAGAATGCACAACAGCTCTAAGGTTAAGCCAACATTGTTCTTTCAAAAATATTTTTTCACATATTATGGATATTTGGAAAGCATCTAAGGGACATGAAGTTTCTATGATAATAAGATTGTAAAAAGTTGTTTACCTGGAAGTTGTAAATACTCCATATACAATTGGATTTTTTGGATCTTTAGAGTTCATTAGGAAAACATCCTCTGTGTGAAAACAAAATTGGGGACAGTTGTGTTTTTGTTGTCGTGGGCAAAGAGAATCTGAACAGATATTCTTTGTATGACATCATGAGTTACTTACGCAACTCATCGAAATGAGTGTCAATGCCGTTTGGACCTGGCACTGAGCAAATCAGACGAGCTTTGAGGAATGTTGTCCATTTATTCACCAGACTTCTGTGCCCCCCAAAGTCATTCTGAAAGGAGAGAGTACTGGTTTTAAGAAATATGCATGTAAATGATAATTTCAAATATTCTCTTATCTTCATATCTTGAAACAGATACAAAATATAATTCCTCGTTTTTCAAAATAAGGAAGGAGGAGTTTTTCAATAACTCGATACAAGTAACTATTGCTTTCTTATGCTGTTGGTCAAATCTATTCACTCTAACTTTATTCAAGAAATGAATTACAATGAATGTCCCTTAGCATTAAAAGCCACTTTATCTTGTTACCACTCTGAATAGTTACTACTCTCATATTTCGTTTCTTTTGGGTTAAGTCTTTCTCACCTACCTATGTATTTCTTGAGATTTTACTCACCTAAGTAGGTTACTAAGTAGTGAACACATTTGCACACGGTAGGCACTTAACAGGTATTTACTGCATGGAAGAATAAATACGTGCCTTATAATCCATACTGAAAATATATGCCAGGCAAAAGCAAGCTAGCATCAAATATTTAATAAGCTTAAACAACTGAAGCAATTCCAACTTTCAGGTAGCATTTTGAAAAAAATATTCGCTTAAACCTTAATAAAGAAAACTCATTCCAGAGAAAATATTTTGAAAAACTGTTTCCTCACTGAAAATGAAACTGAATTCTAATCTAACACAGCAATAAATTCTGTTATGATAGTATGTATTTGCTGGTAATGGTTTTTAAAATAATATTTATGGGCCTATTGATATATATGCACAATAATATTATGTTCCTTCAAATATATAACATTGATTTATATTTTATTTGCATGATTTTATATACTATAAATATTTTTAAATTCTTGTTAAATACTGCTTTTAAACATGATCTGTATTTTATGGAGAAAAGATCCTCATATATTTCACATATTATTTGTACATTTCTAAGTCTTTAAAACTTTTACTTTCCCAGTAATTAAATATACTAGAGATAAACAAAAGATCATGATTGGTGTAGGAAAGAAGCTACCCCCTGCCCCAAAATACTTTTAAAATTTCATATTTTCTTAAAACGACTCCATTTTAAGACAGTTATTGGATCTGCCTTTGTGATTTTCTTACGATGAAAGGTGCTTTAACGTGTAATAATTGTTGTCTTTATTCATACTGCATATACACTGTGTTGTACAGTGTAGAGGGAAAGAATGGTGCTGTTATTATATTTTCACACTTATATTAATTAATCTATAAGTAATTATTGAGAAATGTTTCATTCTATGTATCTTACTGTAATCCAATATTTTGTGCCATACAGTAAATGAATTACCTGCACATTTGACTTTGAAGAGTTATCATAAGCAACTATGCTTTCAGCCATTTTTTTACCATGTAAGTATTTTAGGAATCAGTCAAGATTTTAGCCATGTTTTTCACTGTATTTGCACATAGGTGGAAAAGAAAAAGAAACAAAACTGTGATTGGACAATGATACCCTCCTCCATTTTTTTTCTTTACCTCACCTTGCATATCTGACCTATTCTAGCATGAGTGGCTTTTCCAGTGTGCTCTCCATCTATTGCGTTTTCGCGGAAGAAAAAATAGACTTTGTCATCTTCTGGGTTGTCACTCTCTGGGATGAGGTGGGCACCAATGAACCTGGGGTCTGAGAGGCAAATTACAGCATGCATATTAATTCACAGTCGGATAAATAATACCGCTCAGTGCATTCCATTTTCACTTTCTCCTAACTCCTATTTGACATATTGCAAGAGCTAATCTTCCTTTAGTTCACCTTTTTTTCAGTACAGGCGAACTGTTCTTTATGCATTTTAAAGCTGTTACAAATCACCTTATAACTCAAAAAAAAAAGTTCATTTTTTTCTTCAGAGAGTTAGAAAGTAGATGCAGAAACCCTCAGTGTGATCACATAAGGCAAATGTATTACTGGATATTAAAATATTTTGTAAGATATAATTGCTACCGAACATTACTTACTGCCATCACCATTACCATTCTTTTGTTTAAGCATAAAATAGTTTGTTTTAAATCAATAGCTTAAATACTAGTTTATTCCAGTTTCTAGCAAAGACTGGGTGGGAAGGAAGAGGTGAGATTCATATAAAACAACAACAAAAAAAACCCAAAATGCCTCACGTTGTTGGCCATCTCAGTAAACGGCAACATCAGTTCCTTGTCATTCAAGCCAAAAACCCTGTAGCCGCCCTTCAGTCCTGACTTTCACACCCCACATCCTGTTCACCAGCACTTCCCTACTCATCATCATCTTTCCTACTAGCCTCTCCGGGACCACCACCGCCAGCCCTGGGTCCCTACCAGTCTCCTTCCTTCTGCCCGGCCAACCTCAGTATATTCTTCTGCACAACAGCTGGAGTGTCTCGGATATGTCACCGCCCTAACACCACACGTTTGTACACATGCGTTTGTCTCATGAGAAATAATAAGCAGAATAATCAATGTGATGTGGTTGGAATTATTATGTCACAAAACAAAGATTTTTACCCCACTGATTAAGATAGGCTTCTAGAAATGTAGTGTGTGTGTGTGTGTGTGTGTGCATGCATGCATATAACAGAAACCTACATGTGAAAGAACTCTATTCAGCTACCTGCAACTTTTATAATCTTTTAACAAAACTCATACTTCTCAGATCTAAGATGTCTAATTTTCAAATTGTGTTCATTTCAAATTGGGTTATATTCACCTTGTGTGTCATAAATAGTTAATAAAAATACATTTTAAACTTAAATAGTGCATGTGAAACAACTTTGTAAAATGTTAAGAAACATATTATATTATTATTATTATGAAGATTCTTAAGGGAAGCTTCTATCACATGCTAAATTTGGGGATCTCATTATAATCCAGCTACAGAATTAAAATGAAAAGCCAATACATTCTTTTGCTTTAATACTGGAGCAATGGAGTAGCACTGGGCTAATATTTCTCCCAAATTAGTGTAGTTGTTCATATAAACACTTGAATAACTTAAAGAATTTCAAGTAATTAAATCCAGCTATCTTTCATTTGATCACAAATATATGCAAGTCACTATTTAGAAAACAACATGAATAGTCTGTATACTGCTCTCAGAAAGCTATAGTCTAGCAAGAACCTTGCTAGAAGCACAAAAATGGCAACAAAGCAAACAGCATTTTACACCTATAGATACTCTCTCAACTTATTGTTTGGGCATGAGAGAAGGTATTATCCAGCATGTTTCCCTCTCTCAAATACGTGAGAATAATTCTCATCTTATAGATGTGGGCTCTAGTGAGAAACAATTAGAGCAAGTTATCAAGTACGTTCATTGTCGAAAGGGTCTTTGATCCTAGCTTCTCTTTTCATATCTGACCCTAAAGGCAGGGAGGATTTTGTAGGTGAATTAACAGTTTGACATAGCTTTGATACAGCCAAAAAGTAAAATTACACATATAAAATAAAATCCAATTTTATTAATATGGAAAAAGAAAATATCAAAGAAAAGCAATGTCAATTTAATGTAACTTGCCTTCAAGAAATTGAGGTTATAGCTTCTTTTATATCTTCTTATACTTAGAAAAGCATTCATTCTTATTTCAAAATAACATCAGTCTCCAGTTGATCTCTTCCAAAAATGTAAAAATGAAAAATTCCATTTTTCTAATGTTTCAGACTTAAAGAATCTTCCTTTTGGTCAAAACCTCTGCTCACTGTTCATTTTCCTCTTACCTCTATCCTTCTCACAACCTATTCCTCTCCTCTTTGGTGAATTGCCTCTTTATCCAATCCCGACATTCTCACCAGTCATTCTAATTGTCTTCCCTATCATCCTTGAACCTTTTGGCTTCCTTAACCTCCACTGAACTGCCTTACAAAACACCAGAGCTTTTTGCCTTTGCCTCTATACCTAAGCAAGGATAAAGAAAATCATACAATCACAGTAAACGAATGTATGAATCACCATGAATTCAATCAATTTATCCTAAACAAGAATCATAGTATTGTTAAGGAAATATATTTTGTTTATGTTTAGTGGCTTACTATATATTTATTATCAGCAACTGTTTAATACTTCTTCAGATCAACTAATGCACCATGGCTTATTTTCCTCTCACAAGATGGACAAGGCTGTTTGGTAAGAACCTCCTCCTTTTCCTTCCTCCATCTCCCCATTCTTCCTTTCTTCCTCTCTGTGGAAAAATGTTCTCTGTCCTCATTTCTAAGTCTAAGGCCTTCCTGTATTTGCTCTTAATCCTACAGTCTACAGAATATTGCTCCAATCACAATCTCTATTCTTCATGCCATCACTCACCACTTACATTTTCATTTATCAAATATTTCCTAAGCACTTACTCTGCACTCTGGGATTTTGGAAGATTATGGGACATTAACGTTTTCTGCCCACATAGTGCTTACTGTCTGTGAGGGAATACCAATGACATTTATTATAATAAACACAGCATTTATTAAAAGGCAAAAAAAGAGTGAAAATAAGAGTTTGGAAGTGGAACACTGAGTAGTAGAAGGGAAAATTAATCTTGCCTTGAAGGAATTAGAGAAGCTTTTTCTCAGAGGACATGACAAATAATTAAAGACCTGAAGAATAACCAGTCATGACCTCAGTAGAAGGAACACACGTGTAAGGTCACAGAAACAACAGAGACTGTTGTGCACACAGAGCCTATTCAACAAAGAGACAGGTGGTCGGAGATGATGACAGAAAGTTAGGCAGAGGCCAGAATAAGAAGGAAGTGTGGCTGAGGAGTTTATTGTCCTAATGGCTAGAGGGAAATGGCTGAAGTGTTTTAAACCTAGTAATAACATTATCAGATTTCTATTTTAAGAAGATCACTCTGGCTGCTGGAGGGAAAAAAAAATAATAGTGAGATAAGAATGAAGGCGGGAAGACTACTCTGGCGGCTGGTGAGAAATGATGATGATCTGGACCTGTATTGACAGAGAAGGAGACGTACTCGGGGATTATGTGACGTAGAATTGATGAATAAGGTTCATTGATAAGGTACTGGAAGTGAGGAGTAATCATGGAAAATCATGGAAAAATGAAAGAAACATCTGATTTGAAAACTGGTTGGGTAGGAATCACTTACTGAAAAAGGGAACGCTTGAGGAATGAGAAAGAGAAGAGTGTGACAGAAAGATGAGCTCAGTTCAGCGCAGCTTCAGAGGGAGGTGCCTGTGAGGCTGTCCCGTAGGCCAGAGAATCCAAGAGCTCTGAAAAGAAAGAATGCCTAGGATTGAAGCTGTTAGAAACTGAAGTCAGTGAGGTAATCAGTGGGGCACAGAGTAAGATGAGAGGAGCGTAGGACCCACAGTGCTGAGGAAAGTGATGAAACTAGCGCATCTAGGAGCCGGGGAGTTGAAAAATGAAAGGAAGGTCATTCTTCCTTGGATTTTCTCTTTCCCCTTTTAATAACTCCTTCTCTGTGTCCAATATTTATTGTTAAAGTCTTGTTATGCAGCAGAAGGAAAACAATTTCCACTGACTCTGTTCTGCGGAATCTGCTGTGATTTCTTACATCCATTAAGCCACGGGACTTCCGGAGCCAGGGCTCATACTCCTCCTCTCTGCCCCATTCGCACTTGCTCCTCAACTCCTTCCTACCTAGCTTATGGCTTCTTTCCTCACTTACAGTGTTCTATTTATACTCAGTAGGAACCATCAAATCAACAAATAGGATTTCAGACTCATTCTGCTTTGGCTCTCCTAAGCCATTGGCCCAGTAAAGTATTCATGTCCTTCCTAAAATGTCCATCATTATTGGCATGTGCTTCTGTGACTCTGAACTGAACTGTTAATTATCAAACCTTAAATGTTTCCTTTATGACTTCTTTTTCCTTTTTCCTAAATTTCTAAATATAGACACTTCTTAAATTTATTTTGGACAGTTTTTACTTCCTCCCACTCCTATAAATGAAAGTCATCTCCTAGTATTTCTTCCACTACTTCAGCATTCTTAATTGTCATATATTTTTAAAAGTTTTTTGGGGGGAATGTATTCGTTTTTATAGCTTCAGGTATCACCATTACTATACCAGCATTTTTCCTTTTCCTAGATCCAACTGTGCATTTCAAAATTTTGGCTTAAATTTTCTACCTAGATATATCACTGCAGCTTTAATTCATCATGCCCAGCAAGGAATTTTCCTTTTAAAAAGGCTTCTGCTCCTATCTTTCCAATTTGGTTGATGTCGACATCAATACCGAGACATAAAATGTTATTTTGTTTTAAATTTCCTTTATCTCCTGCACGACTTCTATTTTGCACTCTGAATTTATTATCAAACTTATTTCTGGTATCATTTTCACTTCCTTTCCCTGTTCTATCGTTGTAATGACAGCACAATATATATTCTTTTTACTTTACAATGTATTTTTGGAGTATTCTATCTGATCTTCTACATGTTATTATCTATTTCTTCTAAGCCTTCCATATACGATGCTACAGAAATGAGTTTGAGTTCATTTACACCATATAATCTAGAAAAGATTTCAGGTGTCATAGGATATGACAAAGTAGCATAAATTAAGTTGTAGCATCTTATTACACTGATGGACAGTGACTGCAATGGGGTGTGGGGTGAACTTGATAATATGGGTAAATATCGTAACCACAATGTTGCCTATGTGAAAACTTTGTAAGA